ACCTTAAAATAATCTTTAAAAAACATTGGAGGGGATCCCTTCAAGCAAACGTACCAGAATATTTGTACTGTAGGAGAAAAGTAAAGTGTTCTTCATTCAGTATAGGGTAGATACATAAGTACAAAGAGACTTATTTGGGATCGAGATTACATATTTGCCCAAAAGTGACTAAGATGGGGTCTATAATTGGCCACAGAATAGACTATAATGGGGTAGGGGCTCTGAGAGGCTAGGGGCACCTACCCAGCAAAAATTAACCCAAGTACCCCCCGGGAGGTTTTCTAAATATCTGACGCTTTTAAAACAGATCACGAAGTTTAACATCACACTTTTCAACTCCCTTTCCCAAGTTTGAAATTTGGTTTGTTGTTTTAACATGGCAACGGAACATCAGGAGTTTTTGAAGAAATTGCCATAATTGCCTCCATTATGGCAAAGTTTAAAGAAATTCTGTGAGTCCGAAATCTTTTTGAAATCAGTTTTAAAATCATAAAAAAGGATGGTAAATCTCATAGTGGATTGATTCCATTGAAAACTGTACAAAAAAGGAGGGAATTGCTGTTTGCTGTAAAAAGGTTTAATTAATATTCAGCTGCTTTTCAATTATGTTTTGATAGGCTTTGCAAAACTGAAATGACAAAAGTTACTCACTATCAATGGCGTGTTGCGCCATAACTCTGATTTGCTCCTTCACTTGATCCTCTGACGGAATACCCCCGTAATCCTCGGCGATATTCTTGACCTCGTGCACCACGTGCGAGCAGCCCCCTCCTTTGTGGGGCTGGAGCGAGTGAACAAAGTTATTTAATGTGGACCACTTGCTTTTCTTGACGAACGCTGAATCAAATACCTCGCTTGCCTCCAGAGGAACCTCACTCATTCGCCTTACAGCCCCTGTCATTGCCTCAGACATCCCCTCGACTTGCTTGTCTGCAGCTGATTCGTGGACACCACCTCCAGTTGGTTGATCTGCTGGGAAAAAAGTATTTACGCGAACTGTTGGCGGTCCTTGTTCCGTGGTCTCGGTTGTGTCACAGTGGTCTGTCACGCTAGTGTCTCCATTCTTCTGATCTGTCACACCCTCACTGATGCTGTCCTCGCTGGGAAAAAAGTATTTACGCGAGCTGTTGGCGGTCCTTGTTCCGTGGTCTCGGTTGTGTCACAGTGGTCTGTCACGCTAGTGTCTCCATTCTTCTGATCTGTCACACCCTCACTGATGCTGTCCTCTCTCTTTCTCCCAAGCAACCGCTCTCCCGTGTCGAGAAGCGGCAATTTAGACTCTCTCCTTATAGTTCCCCCTCTTGCTTGCTTGTCTGCAGCTGATTCGTGGACACCACCTCCAGTTGGTTGATCTGCTGGGAAAAAAGTATTTACGCGAGCTGTTGGCGGTCCTTGTTCCGTGGTCTCGGTTGTGTCACAGTGGTCTGTCACGCTAGTGTCTCCATCCTTCTGATCTGTCACACCCTCACTGATGCTGTCCTCTCTCTTTCTCCCAAGCAACCGCTCTCCCGTGTCGAGAAGCGGCAATTTAGACTCTCTCCTTATAGTTCCCCCTCTTGCTTGCTTGTCTGCAGCTGATTCGTGGACACCACCTCCAGTTGGTTGATCTGCTGGGAAAAAAGTATTTACGCGAGCTGTTGGCGGTCCTTGTTCCGTGGTCTCGGTTGTGTCACAGTGGTCTGTCACGCTAGTGTCTCCATCCTTCTGATCTGTCACACCCTCACTGATGCTATCCTCTCTCTTTCTTCCAAGCAACCGCTCTCCCGTGTCGAGAAGCGGCAATTTAGACTCTCTCCTTATAGTTCCCCCTCTTTCTAAGTGCAATGACGGACGGCGCTTTTTACTGGGGGTTATACTCTGTCTTCTGTGATCGACTGACATGAGAGTTCTGATAGCTGCAGCTCTGTCCAGCTGAACAGAAACAAACGAAGATTTAACTTTAATTGGCCGTTTTTACACTCAAGAGACAACATCGAATTATTTCTCTCAGACGGGTTATCCATCGGATAATTCGCGTCAGACTGATAATCCGTCTTAATGTGAAAACTGGACAGTTTTCCTTCTTGGTGAATTGATCTGTCTTACATCCGTCTGGCAAAATCCGTGTATTTTTGCTTATTTTGACGGATTACCTTTCTGAGACAGGTTATCCGTAAAAACAACCATTAAATCACCCAAAAGCAAAATGTTCTGTTCAAATTTGCATTTATCATTCCTTCAAAATCGTTATTTTTTCTTAGAAATTATCACTCGAACCAGTGTTTCATCACAATAGTCTCTCCAAATACTCCACCACGTACCCCTCATATTTTCAACTTTTTTTTATGTGATGTTTGACTTGAAACACTGTGTCTTGTGTTGTGTTTGATTTAGAAATTATGGCATTTTCGTCAGATGCAGTGTTTAGCAATCAAGAAGTTATAATGTACCTGCACGTTGGGGTCCTCTGCCTCCAGCATCTCCAAAGCATCCTCACCCAGATGCGTTTCAGTCAATAAACGTGTGGTCTTGGCTGGAAGAAAAACAACAACCACCCAGTTACTTGAGGTTCTTAATCAGGCCGACCAAAAATGCCATTCGTTATGTGTAAAAATGCATGGAATATTTTAATTGTTAATCGTAAAAGATGGTTAACATTAATTTCTGTCTGGCCACAAACATTTCTCAGTTGAGTGTCGAGGTCGCTCGCGAGGACTTATGGGTCCTACTTTAGCCATCTCGTCCCCCCGAAATGGCCAGCTGCAGAACTTAGACTTGAGTCACGTGTTTTACAAGAATGGACAAATTCTAAATTACAACACAATTTTTTTTTCTCCAGATGACTGTTACACGCAACGAACGAAAAAGCTAACATAACAACTGTTATTATTCATTCAAAATATTTCCCGATTCTGATTGGCTAAAAGCACACGTATAATTCACCATAACCAGTTTCAGGAGCCGATTACTATGACCAAATTTGGAAGAATTTTATGTTTAACGAGGAAATGACGTCAAAAATGCAGCGTTCGTGCAGGTTAAGGCACTGTTAACCAAGAAGACCTGGGGACGAGGTTGAGTTGTTTTGGTTGTGAATTTGAAAAATGGCGGACATTTCACTCGTTTCAAGAGTAAGAACCAGGCGAAAAAATAACTAAAAACATGGCAAGAACAGCAAGAGGACAACTCGAAGGGCGACATCTGCTATTTGGAGAATATTTGCGGAACTGGACAAACCTAAACGTGCACTATCGAAGATGAACTTAACATCGATGGATCGATGGAGGTAAGCTTGTTTTAGCCATGTTTTTAAACTAGGAATTATTTTGACTGAATAATAAAACAATTATTGAATTCGGCTTTCGTATCATATGAAGAATTATGGAGATCTCGGAGGGTGTTATCCGCCCCGGCCTACGGCCGATACTCAGCCTCATTCATTAATTGATAATTAAGAAAAAATCTCACCACCACACTGCGACCTTCGTCTGTCTTGAATTCTTCTCTTAAAACCACAGGTGGCCTATCAACGGTCAGGCCTGTACGGGGCCGGGATGGCTCCGCCCGAAAGGGGTAACTTTTTCAGGCTTCAGGTATATGAAAAGGGTAGAGATTTCACTGGTTGAGGTATATGAAAATGTAGGAAAGTCTGTCATTTCTGGTCTTAAAAGCGCTCAGGTTTTGTGGTTTATTCATCTTTTCAAGTTCACTACAGGATTTACTTACAGAGCTTAATTTTTACATCACGTACCTCCTTGCTGGACAATATCAAATCCATGTTCTACAAAACCAGATATTTCATCGCACATTCGATCTCCCTGTACAGGAAACGGATGCAGAAAGACCACTGGTTTAGAGTAAAAACTAACCATGCGGGTTTCTATAGGTAATCATACGACGACTTGTCGTTCAATTTGGTTTTTATCATTTGCACAAGTGTGTTTTCCAAAACGTTTCAAAATTTGGTGAAAGCAATTTAAGCTTTTCGAAAAACAGACGACCGCAAATGACTTTCAGATTAAACGAGAAAAGCCGTATGATTACCCTTTAATAATATACACGAAATGAATTACCAGTCAAGATGAGTTGAGCCTGATAATAAAGGGCACCCTCGAAACCCTAGAAACTGCCTGCTCATCACGACAAGGAGTCATGACCATGTTAAGGTTGGACATGAGTTGTGGCAGCTGATTGGTTCTTATATGTTTATATTATATATCAGCGGATCACAGTGCTCCATTCTCTGAGATATTTGCGTTTTATTTCCTTGTCTTGCACTGTGTTTAGTAAAAACTTCAGTGCTCTCAGCCAATCAGATTCAATAAGCATAAGTATCGATATCGGTAAGGAACGACTGGAAAACCCCTCACTTCGTCGCTAAGAGCGAACAGGTGCGTAAAGCTATAAATACAGCAAAAAGCTTCTGTTTCGTCAGAACGTAAAACGGTCTATTTTGCTACTTACTTCCTCCATAATAAACATTATAGCTGCGTTTGTTTCTTGTTTCAGCATACCGGGAGCTATTCCTGCCATGGTGCTTTCAGCTAGTGATCGGCGTCTTCCATGCGGCTGTCGTCCTACAGAGTCCCCGCGTTGACTGATACGCTCAGTGGCCTTGCGGTCATAGTGAGAGGTCTGGGTTCCCTTTTAATTAGAACACGATAAAATTAACGGTAACTTGAATAATCAGATGAATAAGTTACCCTCTCGAGAGAAAACAATAGATATACTGTCATTCGCTTGTGATTGGACAACCCTAGCCTTGCACCGCGTTTTCCCAGGTCTTCTCTGTCCGTTCATTTCGTATTCCTCCTAAATAGTGGACAGAGGGTTTAATGTTCCACCTAAGATTCGATGCAGCAGATGTTTTCCCATTCAGGGGTGTAAAGTAAAACGTATCAGCAAAGCGATCGATGTTGGAGATGAGGCTGATAACCATGCCATAGACTATTAAAAAAACTATTTTCGGGGTAAAGAAGTTTGACTACCTGGCTACCTTAATTAATCTTCCAACAATTACTTTTTGCGCCCAATTTAAAGTGCAACATCAAGCCCTTACTTTATCTGCTAGCGTGACCATCTTCGCTTCTCTGACTGTCACGTAAGGTGCTTTCTCCTCCCTACACTCGCCCACTACCAAGTCACGTGTCTTACGTTTCGACCCTCCTCCTTTGTCTTCCTTCTTCTTCTGCGGTTTTTTCGTTACTTTATCGTCCTCCTCAGTATTCTCATCTTCCTTCTTGTCTTCTTCTTCCTCTTTTTTATCTTCTTTCTTTACTTTTGCGGCCTGTTTCCGCTTTCTTGGTGACTTAGCTTGTCTTGGTTTTGATTTCTTCGCAGGCACTGCTAACTTGGAAACCTTCGTTGACTTCTCTTTTATTTCTTCCTCCCCAGAATCCGTATCCTGCTCTGTTGAGTCCTGCGGTGGAGTGTCCACTGTTTCGACAGAAACTGCAACGATAGATAAAGCCCCTAGCAAGTAGAGTTTTAAAGATTGTACATATAGCCAGCGTCAGATTATAGCATGCGTTCTCTTCGAATCCAAGACTTAAGGAATGCCGATCGAGTTCTGAATTAAAACAAAGCGTGTTGCCAGGGTTTTTTTTTACCTGGAATATACCGAAAAACCACAAAATACTACTTCAAGGTGAGTAATTCAACTTTATTACACGCAAATCTAACCTCTATTTAGTTAAAACCCATGTTTCCTACAGCCCATGCCATGATTATAGCAAAAGATTCCAGAATGAGGCAGATGTAGGGTTGGCCCAAATGGTAAATCGTTTTGGCCTTCAAATCTAAATAATTTGCTCTCATGTTACCAAGAATCTGTTCATCATAATAATTTCCATATTAAAAAGCAAGCACGTTTTGTGTCAAAAGCAGGTCAACTTTCAGTCTCGCCTTCATGCAAAGGCCAGGTTACTGAGCGCGCACCAGAGATAAGCGAAGACACAGAGAGTGAGCAGTTGTCACCTTTAAGGCTTGATTTCCCCGCAGAATTCAATCTCTCCTCCTTCACTTCTGATTCAGCCAAAGCCAACTCAGATTTAACATGAACGATAATTTCCTGAAAGAATGAAATATGTTCACTTTAAATACACAGAGGCAGAGAATATCTTGCGAGTACAGCCGTGTCTCCTCTCTCCGAATTGGGTCTGAATAGCAGACATCTCACTCGCGAAACGTCTCAGGCAGCAAAGAGTTAGACGAGACGACTGTCAGTTTACCAGCTAAGGCAGAGAAACGATAGTTCGGGCTATCGCCAAGGGGAATGGGTTCTGTGTCCACAGGGTAACCATCACTAGAAACTAATTTAGTGTACAGATACATAATTACCAAGTGATAAAATACGTGTCTTATCTCATATGACACGGGTCCTGCATACTGCTAATTTCAGGCATCAGAATGTCGAAAGCGGCCTGTCTGATGATAATCAATCATTTAGCCCAACTATGTGCTTTCCTTGCAGACTATAATTAAAGACGGTAATTTTTAAGCGCGATGAAACCAGAAAGATGAAATGGTCATTATGACACCAGCGTAGAGGTCTTAAATGCATTATTTCATAAAATTGGCCAAGCGGTTATCTAGACAGGACCTGTACGGTAGCTGATGGTTGGCGAACAACGCTCTTATTTCTAAATTGGCTTCCATGAAGTTTGACCCATTTTATTTATTTGTATAGTTATTTATTAGCTTACACCATGTGAGGGAATCCGAGATAGTCTTGGTTTCCACGATGTGGATTTCGGATTCAAGAGGCTGGAATCTGGATTCCTTTTCAGACAAAAATTATTGCATTCATGATTCCAATAGTTACTGGGAATCCGGATTCCTTAAGCTGAATTCCGGAGCCAGGATTCCAAAGCTCAGGATTCCAGATTTTACTAGCAAAAATTTCGCGGATTCCAGAATCCCGATTACCTGACAAGTGGTAGCCTAGAACCGCTGACGTATTTCCGGTCGTCGCAGAGAGAGGCAAAGTCCGGAAATACGTCTGCGGTCGCAGGCTAGACATGGAGTGAATTAGAACTTAAATTTCAAGTTACCTTCTCACTGGAAGTCAGCTGTGCTCTCAGTTTATTCATTTCATCTTTTAACCGTTCGATGTCTTGCTCTTTTGTCTTTAATTCATCCTCATTATCGACAAGCTGTGCCTGGTACGAAGAACACTTTGGACATTCCTTGACAACCTCAACTGTACGCGGATCGACTGGTGCATTTGGCTGCTGTTCAGTGCTTGAGGCAACTGTAGGCTGCTCTAAAGGAGCTGTGTCGCCAAATTCAGCCTAATTATGTAATTACAAAATGCCCGTAAAATTAATTAAGGGAAATGTAAAAATAACCGCTTAAAACATTAAAGGAAGGTTAAAATAACACCACAGATACCACAGATGCCTCGGATGGGCAAAACTGAAGAAGATTGAAACGGATTGAAATTAGGATTTTTAAACACTGTTCAGCCTAACAGTTTTTCAAAGTTGATCTCTTCTGTTTGCAACTTCAAAAATAATGCACAGGAGACATATTTGTTTGTCTCGATGTCTCGAATCTCTGATTTTGTCATTTCCATGTAATTTCTTTGTTTACTTTACGTTCCATAGCGATTGAGGGCGAGTAATTGGCAAAATTAAACAAAATGAAGTGGACTGCCGTGACATAGCCCCTTTAAATTGAAGTCAACCCAGTACCATTATGACACGTGAATCAAGACTAGTGCGAGGGTGCTTCAGTAACTACAATCGTGACAGCGAGAACGTTAAAAGGAAAAGTTTCAATTTAAATATACAAAAAAACTGTACATGCACTTGCATCAACTTGTCCTCGGACATGGTAACCTGCGACATAAAGGGATAATAGGGAGAGGGCATGATCTCAGGCTACGGACATGGAAGCCCTGTTTTATAGAGGGCGTGAGAACAGAAAGTCAGATTTTCCTATTTCTGTAAGAGTCAAGTCCAGGAAAATCATTATCTGTATTTCCGACTTAAATGGAGCTAGTTGAAAAAAACAGCGATGAAATTGGAAAGGACTCCGTCAATTTGCTCTACCAGAAAAGGTCTCTTTTTAGCCGTCTCTTCATTGGTGGCTTCAGTATCATGGTGTATTTCAGCAAAATAGGATACCAGAAAGCGCATTTGTTCATGTATATGGGAAACCCGTCAAAATGGTTAAAACAATGATCTGGTTGTTTACTTATAAACCATCTATTCATATATTCCTTGATCGGATCATCATCGATACCCTGACTTCCCTTAAGTGTTCAAAGGCATTTTTCGTTTTTATTATAACGTTAAACTCGAGGTGTCACACCAGGTACAAATTAAAATGAACATCTTAAGGGTTTATGTATGGTTTATGTTTATGCGTCTTATTCTGGTTAGCGTTAGATAACATCGAGTGAAGCCAGATTGGACACCTTATGAATTTTACACAACGCATTATTTCCATAATGGAACGAGACTGGAATGTAGAATGAGGCTAGAATAGCTAAAGAAACCAAAACTGCAGAGCTTTAGTTATGGAGAGAAAACAGTAGAGAGTTAAGAACTGATCTACAGCAAGAGAGGATAAAGGGGACAGAGAAGGCATCCCCCATACACACCCTATTCCATAGGTAATTCGTCTCGAGTTATTTTTAAGACCATAGATGCCAAGGGGGATTAGACAACAGCCAATCACATAGCGCGAATGTGTTCTGCGTGGATGACCCACGCTCAGAACCACGCGTCCTTCACGAATTGACGCAGAAGAAAATGGCGGAAGACGCGGAGAGCGATATTGCTATTTGTTTTGTCGCCGAAAACGACTAAAGAGAGATTTCTACTAAACCTGTGTCAGCGAAACGGAAATTTAAAAAAGAATCGCCCTTCCTCTCTTGTAAGAGCTAACAGTACAGCGGGGAAATCCTTAACACACTGAATATTCTCTCAGGATCATTTATAATTTGCAGTTTGTAGAGAGCAATTTCTGGTTTGATATTTATTCTTTTATTAGTCTTTTATTATGCAACAAAAATAACACTTGGCGTCCTACTTGCTTTATTACACAAACGACCGGTTTCAATAGACCGGCGAAATTTCTCAGGTTAACTTCGAGTTAAACTTATTTCAAGGATTGTAAAAGAGTCCATCGATTCCCTTTTCCCAGGTGAGCGCCGACTCATTTCGCTTCAATATTCAGGAATGCTCTCGATCTCTTTACGCTTTCATTGCCTTTCGCCCGACATGTTTTGCACGGCGTTTAGTCATGGGAAACCTCCACGAAACATCCAAGCAGCGCGCGAGGTAACTTTATCCCGATTCTAAAAATAACTCGAGACGAATTACCTATGGAATAGGGTGTGTATGAGGGATACCTTCTCTGTCCCCTTTATCCTCTCTTGCCTGCAGTGATTAGGGTTAAGCACTGAACTGAAAAAAACGGTTAGCTTTCAAATATTGTAATGGGGGTACGGCATATATAAGAACATGTATATTTTAAAAATTACTGGATTTGGCAGGTAGTCCTCGATGGTGTAGTGGATATGGATGTAGGCTATAAAGCAAGTGACACGGGTTCAAAGCATCACAGTGGAGTTTTTCTTTTTCGCTTTTATATTACACAGTAAAGTTGGACTTGAATTGTTCTTCATGAAATTTTACTAAAAGAAACAATCTGACTTCAGCCGATATTACCTAATGCTAACCTCTTATTCTACTTGAAGAAATCTGATCATGGCAAATATATTTATTGCAAAAACGTCTTGCTTACACACCTCTTCAGCGCTTGGAAGAGAAGCCAACTTCTTTTGCAGTTCCTTGTTTTCCTAAAACAGAGGGTGACATGGTTAAATCCTTTACAAATCGTTGTCGTCGGACGTTTTGTCGATTGCTTTTTCCACATGTTTCCAGGGCGTTTTCACCGACCAGTTTATTTTAATTTAGAACGATTTTGGCGCGAATTCAGAATATATTTTAAGTCACATAGACCTTAAAATGATATGTTTGAGCTTTGAAAGACGTTTCGTTTTCCGTTTTTATATATTGTACTTCAACTGCGCTCATAGATGGAGCTGAGATTCCATTTTCGTGGGAAAAAGTGCTCTAAAATGTGTCTAAAAATAAACCAGTCGACATAGCCGGCCTAGTATGTCGAAGTATGAGAGTTGGTCGCTCCTGCGCATGGGCTCCTGCGATGGTGATAAACATGTAGGGAACGTGACAATTAGGAGAAAAATTTGGGTTACCGTAGGAAAAAAGACTCGAAACTAAAACGAAATTAAAACGAAGAGCTCATTAAAACTTTGTGCATGTCATATCAGTACCCTCACTCACCTCCTCAAGTCGGAACACCATTTTCCTTGCATCGCGAACTTGAGCCTGCAGGATGTCAGTAGTAGCCATATCCTCGCCGCCAACTCTTCCCTGTTTGACCAAAAAACCTGAGGTTATTTGATTTAACGAATCATTTACAGGGAAAAGCCAGAAGCGAAAAAGAGAAGGTTTCAAGGGTTTCCAGAAGCCTCTTTCTCTCTCACTCTACGAAGTCTTACTTACTGGTAATAATATCTAGTGTGCAAGAGCCTTCTCTTGCTCTCATGAACACTCAGTATAACCAGTATTTTGACATTGATCCTGCCGACGATGACATTGTTGTTCAAGCGCGCGCCTGTTGCTGACTGTCCTTCTGTCGACAGATTGGAAAAGGAACGCGCATCCTCGAAAAAACGCTAAGAAATCTTTCTTCTATACATGACATGTGTATGCCTTCTAAATTGCTTTACAATCTTTCTTGGTTGACTAATTTTAGACGAGTTGGACCACCTTTCTCCCTTGCGAAAAGACTTGGTACGCCCTGGCAGCTTAGGTAGCCGAGACATAATCACTTCCTGGCACCTCATGTTTATTTAAAAAAAAAAAACCTGTGTGGACAGGATTAACCAGACGTAATCTAACCCCGGTTAGTAATGGACCGGTAATTATTTATCGCCTTGGGGGAGGGGAGAGGATTTTAGGGGAGATCAGTCGTAACTGAGAACCCAAAAGTGGGGATCACTGAAAACTTCGGAAGGATTCAGAGGGGGGACCACTCAAATTTCTTTGGAAAATGAAGACGTGTGGGGGTGGGGGGATCGCGAAGGTCATCAAACGTTATTAGGGGGATCACTTCAGTAAACTAACATTCAAAGGGGCGATCGACTAAATTTCACCTTGTTTAGCCCCAAATCCTCCCCCCCCCCGGAGATAAATAATGACCTGTCACTAATGTCTGCGAAGCCCTTGTTCTGGGCCCCTAACGGAGTCAACGAATCACTGGAAGTGCGTTTCGTACTTCCCATGAGATTTATTGCCAAATTGAACAATGGCCCTTTTAAAAAGTCAATCATCACGATGGTCAGAAATAGGTGTTTTTCCTCCCACATAGGTCACAGAGACGTGAAGAATTTTCCAAATGACATGAAACTTGGCAGGATTGTTGCTTGAGAGATTCTACATTTTTTGGTGGCAGTTTGACAGTCTTGATGGACATTGTGACGTCACAAATAGTTTCCAAATTTGGTGCCAAAATTTAGAATTAAGAAAATCGTCAGAAAAACCACAGAGAGGTGTTCTGTGATCAGAGTGAAGCTTTCCAGTGAAAACCCCGTTAAAATCCATTAAAACGGGACAAAGTTACAAGCTATTTTGTGCCTGACAATAAAAGAAGGAATTTAACGAAATTAATTGTTTTATTACCTTATATGGTAAAACTTTAGGGAGGTTTCCAGTTCAAGACAATAAATGGAAGTTAAAAGAAAAATAGCGGATAACACACTGGAGAAAATTTGTAGTTTTTTGAATTTGGGACTCTATAGGTATTTTCACTTGTGACGTCATCAACACGTAAATATGACGTCAACATGGTATGAAATGACGTAACATGCAACCTGACACCCCATGTCCCAAATTTAAAAAACTACAAATTTGCTTTTATGCATGGTTCGCTTAGTTTCCTTACTGTTTCGTTTAATTAGCTGGAGTTTAAATACCCCTAAAGTTTGACCATATATGGTTAATTCCATACATTTGGCGGGAAATTTGAATGTCTTTAATTAGCTATAACTTTGCAATAATTTAACTGCTTTAAGAGGAGTTTTCACCAGAAAGCTCTGTTTTTTTATAGATTTTATTTATAAAGTTATTTAAGTCAAATAATTAATTCCAAATTTTAGCGCCATGTTTCAACGTCACTTATGACGTCATGCTGTCAATCAAAAGTATAAAACTATGTTCCTGCCAAGTTTCGTCCCATTCGGAATATTTCGTAATCATCTATGTGTCTCTAATGAGCCATGTGGGAGGAAAACACCCATTTCTGACCATGCATGGCGCGTACTCAAATCCCGGTACTCAGGTGGGGCCCAGAACAAGGGATTTCTGCGCTCTCTCGCCGACAGACTTAAGGTGATTCCCTGGTTTTGCACTGCGCATCTCTTACTGCGCATAACAAGATGGCCGCTGTAAAAAAGAGCATGTGAAGTAACATTATTAAAATGAAGTTGACTGAAGAGAAACGCTATTGGAATTTTTGCTTGCGGTTGTTTCTTGCTGAGGTGAGACTCAGTGTGTTGGGAATGTGCATAACGTAAGCAGTACGCGTTTTGCTGAGTTCGACTTCGTCACGGAGATCCTCGATAGTGAATGTTTAACTTGTTCTTAGTCACTCTGATTTGCATTTAAACGCTTTCTTTATCACATTGTGTCCTAAATGTGATATCTCGATGTAAATTCTGTGAAAACGGATTTGTTAATGCTTTCTTCCCCCTTTAACATACATTCTATTTTGAAACTCGCCCCAGTCCTCTCTCAAAAATCGGAGAAAATGCATTTGGTGCGCACTTTCTGCAGCTCTACCGCAAAAACGAGTACGGTGACCCCCATTTTTTATTTCATGATTTTAATAGGGACAGTGCTTCCTTTCGATGGGAAAACAATTGGCACAAATCTATGTTCAGTTTTTTGGCAATTTTACTTAATTGTACGGATTGAGCTATCACGGGTCGAAAAGCGCATGTCCAATTCAATTCTACTTTAAAGCGTAAAGTAAAAACAGGAGCATTAAAAGGCATTTTTCTGGTATGTAAGTGGATAAACAATACAATAAAGTCAAATTCTGTGCCATACCACGTGCATCATCGAAAAAATCTCTCCTTTTTGTCTAGTTTTGGGCTGCACGCTGTTTTTGTCAAAGGGTCCAAAATAGCCGTATTTGTTAGCATTGTGACGTCAAAACGAGCACGGTGACCCCCACTTTTTATTACTTTTTCATCATCTTCTTGACTTGTTACGTCAGTGTAGCAAGTTTCATCTACAATCTATGTTACGTTCTTTTACTAGGGAATCACCTTAACTAGAAGTTTAGTTTCGTCTATTGCACAGGTTAGGACAGAAACTACATGCAAATGGTTATCAATCCTATCGCTTACCTCATCATCTAGTTCAGTCAAGTCTATATCTGCTCCGTCAAATTTGATTTTGTCTCCGACATCTTTTTTCTCACTCATTACTTTCCTGATATACTGCAAGAGAAACAGATAATGTGAGTCTCTCTGGCGGTTTCATTCACGGCGTGTTCTTAAGTATCCAAGGAAATCTTTAAAGACTGCAGCGATTATTTGGATTACCCCAATTACTGCTCCCGCTACTTAAAATATCTGGTAACTTATTAGCGGTTACCAAAGGCTGAGTCACAGCTGGAGTGCCAGACCGGTCATTTTTCTTAAAAATGAAATAGTAGTCTCCCCTCCAAACTTTTCACTAAAACCCATCACTGTCTTGCATGCCATTTACGAATAATCTGATCTGGTTGGATAGTCCTGATTAATATTGGAATTCTCCTTATGACTGGACTGGTCTGGCCAGCCAGCTCTGACAAAGTGTGATCCCCCTTGACCTTATGCTCAAAGTTGATGTATGAAGCTAGGGAAAACAGGACCTCTATTGAAAAATAAAGGACTGAAAAAGTTCCATCACTACAATTTTCTATCAATTTCCCTCTTTGTTATCATCAGTATTTGTAAATATCCCGTAATTCAGCCTATGGCTGCAATGGTGTTTATAATAAAGTATCTATCTATCTCCCTCATAGAATTTCTCAAAAATTATGGGCATTGTGCGCTATCTGTGAGTGAATGCTGTCTTGTATCCAGACTTTTCTCGCATTATACGCAAAGAACGGCCGGACGCTTTCTAATGATACAACGAGCCATGCTTGTTTCCAGTTATTCCCCTTTTATCGAAGTGCTTTTGAAGAAGGCTGTCTCTGACGTTTGTAAAAATAAGATACTACCATTCTATGCATTCTAGGGAACGATATTAGCACCCTAAAACATGATTAAGCTGGGTTTTTTCTTTTCAAGAGAGAGAGAGAGAATCCCCCGTTAACAACACCCAGGAGGATTTGGTATCCAAGGAAAGACTTTGCGCTTAGTTTTAAATTTTACCCTGAATATAAGGCATCCATTCAGACTCACTGTAAAGGATTGCAAAAGTAGTTTGTCCTTACTTGTTTGCATTGCTTGAGCTCGTGCTGTTTTGTTTTAAGTTCGTGTTCCACCGACAACTTGTCGTTGTTTAACCGAGTCTTGTCCTTTTCAAGATTTCTTACAGTCTACAAAAGAAAGACAAAGGAAAAATTACCATAAAAAGGCCGGGGGGGGGGGGGGGTACTCGGGATTTCAAGTGACAGGGATGATCGAAGGATTTTTTTGGGTTTGAAATTATCGATTCCGGGATTTTTTTGGGTACGAAAATTTGGCAACTATTTTTTTGGGTAGCTTGATTTGAATAGGGATTTTTTGGGGGTATTAAAAAGAATTAGTAGTGCCCTGGCTGCGTAGTCCTGCGAATAAAGTACAAAGAAACGTGGTTTGCTGCTGTTTAATAGTTAACTATGGTGTCGCTTTACATCGCACGTGTTATACAATAGTCTGCATTGTCCCGTGGTGCCCAAAACTGTTCTTGGGTGTCTCTAGCACCCGCTCTAGCTTGTTAAAATGACTGTCAGACGAGGGAAAGGATATATTCAGATGGTATGATGAATAAACAAACACGACTGTTCAATTTCCAATGTCTTTTTTTTGTGTTATATCATTACCCCTTTCTGGAACTTTTAAGGGCCACAAAATCGGCATGGGATTTTTTGGGGCTTAATTTTTGGTCCAGGGACTTTTTTTGGGTTTTGCTGGAAGCCCTAGGGATTTTTTTTGGGTCTTGACTTTCGGCTCCATTCGATAATCCCCGTCACTTGAAATCCCAAGTACCCCCTGGGAAAAAGGCACTCTGATTTAAAGTGGTTTTCGATTGCTTCTTCCAAATCAAAACAAAGCCAATAACAAAATGCGCAAGTAAGCCAATGAACGAATGTTCTGGTTAAAGTGTCGAAATCTTTTTTATCAAGTAATAAGCACAGCCACACAAACGCAAAGACAACATGAATATCAATCCATACCAGACGTACAGTTTTAAAAAATTTAAATACGGAATTTAGCATGCGTACCTTTCTTTACAGTGCGATGAAGAAACCTTTGCGGGAGAGATAACTGTCTTCGTCGTGCTCCTCAACAAAATCACCTGTTAGTCGGGAACTGGGTAGGGATTTTTTGCGCCTAGTTTACAATAGGGGAGATGGTCTAGTGTAGGCGAGGGTTCTAGGGTCACCCGGCGGAACACACCCACCCCAAAATTCCTCTAGTATTTCCCCTGACACTCACCTTCTCTTGTTTGCTCAAGTCTCGTTTTAAACTAAAACAACAACAAAACAAACAAAAAAAGTACTCAGCAATATACTGGTGTAAATACTCGACTGAACTTGTATAGTTTAGGTTTTTTAAACTTTCTTTGCCACTTTAATATCTTGTTTATTTGTTTGTTGTTATTTTTTGTCCTTGACTTCTTTCATATTGTTTTGCATTGCATTGCATTTCCTTGTATTGTATTGCATTGTCTTTTCTTATCTTGTGTTGTATTGTATAGTGGGACCTTGATTTTTTTGTATATGAGATATGGAAAACTAGACACAAATAAGACTAAAAGGATTGAATGATTGATGACTAATTTACACCCTTTGGTAGTGATAAAATTGAGATTAGATGAAATGCCAGTCATTGATGTTACTGTAGCTCCACCAAGCGAATGTAAATGCAGGACTTACTTGTCAATATACTCAGTTTGAGTATTTAGTGTCATCAGAATCCTGTTCAGTTCCTTTTCTAGAGTTTCCTTATCTAAACACACGCAAAAAATATTAAGTTAATTCGTGATGTGGCCGATTTCACAACAATAGAACAGGGACTTTACGATAGGACGACGCGAAGGCAGACGTCGGTCTTTATCGCGATTATTCCAACTCACTTACTTCCTCAAATGTAGGCGAACCCTCACGGAGTTGCATTTCTAAGAACCATATTCAAGCCTTTGAAAGAGAATAAAATTTCGTCGTGGCCTGTTTACGTTCCCCAGAAAAAGTAAAATTAGGCAATTTCACGTCGTAGTCGTGCAAAAACGGGAATGAAATGTACAAAAAAGTGAGATGCACGTGCAAATTTGTTGTTTTGCCTACCAAATCTATTGTTGTTTTGGACGTTCTCGTTGCCGTCGCGTCGTCGGATGGTAAAGTCCCCAATAACAGATCGGGAACGCGATCGACGTCAAATAATAAACTTGAAAGGAATTTTGCAAGAGTCAGCCAGAAATCTAACAGAAAACGTGTTCCTTTGATCTTTTTTTGATGAACTTGCGGTTTCTGAGAAAAATCTGAATCGTAGCGTCAACCAACTTCAAAATAAGAATTAAAAATCCATCAATTTCTTCATGTATATGTAGAATAGTAAATGTTACATTGCCCTTAATTTTCGTTTTCCCACAACTTAGGGCTCGTAATATCACAGGTGGCCCAGACTCTATATGGAAGCTCATTACAAGAGAATGTATGAAAATGAACAAAATACGACCTAAATTAAATTTTTCAAAAAATTCGCAATAAAAATGACTCAACTTCTGAACAACTTTAAATCTAAAACTCGATAAAACAGCTTCCAAATGGCTCAGTCTAGAAGCCCCGAACAGACAGCAAAACACAAAACTCAAACACAAGTTAAGTCATTTTTATTGCGAATTTTTTCGAAAAATATGATTAAGATCGTATTTTGTAATATGATTTTATTGCCATACCAAGGTTTCCTGCATGTCGTACCATTTTCAACATATCCACCATTTCCCCAGCAACAAGTTTCCACTGTTGTGTTTCATCTTTTCGAATATTCGATCGCCCTGAAAGAACATTCATCAAACGCTGTCACGTGGTCGTTGTTATTGCGACCGAAAACTGCTGCCATGACAGTGTTATGGCGAACACCCTCTGGACCATTACCCTCCAGATCAGGCGTCTTAGCGTTTTTCAGGCGAGCGAGAAGCGCGAGACACGAGCATCGTTCATAGTAGAGAGAGTCCGAAAAAGCGCGCGAGTTTAACTCGGTCAAACGTCTGTCATTTCTTTTTACCTGCGATAAAGCTGCTGTCCATATTATTAAGGTGACGGTAATAGCAAGATGTCTACAAGGTGAGAGTTCACTGTAGATGCAACTTATTTATTTTGGCTAAAGAACTCTGAGAGTATTTGAGTCCAAAAATTAAGGCTCTAGAAGACAGACTTGACTGAGAGTCATTTAACATTTTAACTCAAGGAAGTGTGGGCCTGGTCCCCTTGCCCCCTTTAAATCCACCACAAGAAGCTCTTCAAAATGTGGCGCTTCATTCGAACGGCTAATCTCACTCGTGAACTTCAAATCTCCGCGGATTTTTACAGCTGATATCGCTCGTAGGCATAGTAAATGGTTTGTTAATGAATAGGGTTAGGAAAAAATCAACAGAAAGCGTTTTTAGGTTTTCAACCCTTCCCCCACAAGTTTAGTTTAATTCCCGAAAATAAAATTGACTGACGCAGAAGCGAAAGTTTAGGCCTTACTATTTAAAATATCCTTTCTCTGTTGCACTGCCATCTTCTTGTTCATTTGCAATTCCCTTTCTAATTGTCTCTTCTCCCTTGAAGAAAAGAAACGAAAATAAAAAGAAACCAACAAACATTTAACAGTTACCATAATGCCATAAATTGTGACAAGTGTTGTCTTCTTTCAAAGGTTGTGTTAGCAGACAATTACACCCGATCGGATCCGTGCATTTTGAAACCGCATCTCAGTTTTTTCATAGAAAATGTTGTTGTTTTTTTTGTAGATGTTTGATTGTAGATTGTAGATTAGTGCCGGAGCTATTTTCAAGAGTCAATGATTATTTTTATAGACCTTATCATGGTTCTGGAAGCCATATTGGCAGATAGCCAACCGTGTGAGAAATTACAGTGTTCGCATGAGAACCTAAAGTCAAAAATTTCCGTAAACTGGCTGTTCTCAGTGGCCGATCCAGACTCTGTGGGGGGGGCTGTCTTAGGAATACACTGGTGTAAATACGCGACTGATCTAGTATAGTTTAGGTTTTTAAATTTTCTTTGCCATTTTTATGTCTTGTCTATTTGTTTGTTTGTTGATATTTTTTGTCCTTGACCCCTTTCGTATTGCAATGCATTGCAGTGCCTTGTATTATATTGTCTTGTATTGTCTTGTCTTGTCTTGTATAGTAGGACCTAACTTGGATATGAGATCAGTAATACATGGATAACTAGACAAAAACAAGTCGATTCATTGACTGATTAAGATTGTATGATTGATGTCTAATTTATACCCTTTAATAGGGATAAAATTGAGATTGAATGAAATTCCTGTCATTGATGTCACTATAGCTCCACCAAGCAAATGTATGTATGTTTTACGAAAATTATTCGACATCAGATTTTCCTACAGAATCTTGCTTAACCGACAAGATGGCTTCCATTTCATGGACAAGAAAGCTGAGACGTACATTTCCAGCTTCTCAGTTGCTTCGCCCTTTTTTGACAAATCGATTATCTTCTTGTTCGTTGCCTTCAGTTTGTCCGTGATTTCTCTAACATTTTGGAATGTGTCCCTGTAAACATGAAGATGTATAAAGTCAATTTGAGCACTAAAATTTTCTCTTAACCCGGCAGACTTTGTTCCTGTGGATATGAACGATACTTATTTGACTTTACTGAGTGAAGTTTTGGTTTCGGGTATATCTTTTATAAGAATTAATGTTAGTTTCAGCGGATTTATTAGAGGCAACCAAGGATGGTCTCCTAAATACATTGAAATCACCTCAAGTACTTTTAGATCCCTCACAAAAGCATTCTCCGCGGCGTTATAAGATTTATAACAGTACGGTCATGCTAGGGCAACTTGAGTGGTTTTTAAACTATAAAAATCCCTCCAGTATTATTTTCCGGAAACTTTTGGATGAAATTTAAAGCTTTACAAGGGTGAAAATTTTTCTGATTCCTGTGCTCATCATCTTTTAGAATCCAAAAATGTTAGGTTTCCTTCTTTTTTTTTTTTTTTTACGAAATATAGTTCATTATAACCTGGGGATTGAAATGTGAAAAAACAAACTCCAGTAAATCGTACGGAACTTTTGGGTTACAAGCTTCGAAAATCGTACATGTATGAATGAAACAGTCACCTAGAAATTTTAAGTCGTTCTCAAACTGATAGAAAATTCTAGGCAAAATTTTACAGCAAACAGTCTTTGGGTGCCCCTGGTGCTAATTGATATCCGGTCACCTCGCCACCCTGAACCATCTCGCCATCAACGAAATCGCCACCAAAAATAGGACAAAGCCTTATTGTCTAAAGAAGTCATCCCCCAGGAAGACACAACAAATGAAGACCTCTCACGACAAGAAGTTTTCTCTACACCGTTCCTTAATCATATTTCAAACAATCATATTTGTGCCAGTTTTATAGTGATTGTGTGAAAGGTAAATAAATGTCGAACTTTACATTAACCGTATTTGGAGTAAAGTTCGACGCAATGATCGTGCGTTAATTAGGATCGATAGATTTGTATTTGGATCGACTTCAAATTCGCATAGGTTTAGCGAAAAAAGTAAAAATCCTAGGTAAGGAATACTAGATAAGTAAACTGTGACAATTTAGAGTTATTCGTTGGTGGCGATTCGACTCCTTGGTGGCCATTTCGTTGGTGGCGAGATGACCGTAAACCCACTAACTGGATCGCCCTCTGGGCTCCTTCCATGTCCACTGACTGATGTTCTTTCTTGGTCATTTTTTCTATCTGCAACAGAGACAAATTTCAGTATTATTCATTCAAAAATGATACTTCTTTGTTTCTGCTTGGCTCAAATTACCCGGAAAATTCTTCATAACCAGCTAGCGTTGACCAAATTTGGAAGATGTGTGCGATATCTGATAAAATGACGTCAATGGTGCAAGATAACAATAAAAAAAGACTCGGCAATCGAGAAGCTCTGGAGATATTGTTGCGTTTTATAGTTCTTGTTTTGGTAGTGCTCGAGAAAACATTTTGCTCTCTCACATCTCAGTTGTTAAAAAATTTTTCCAGGATATCAGACCACCCTTATCAAAGCATTGTTATTGCTTTTCTCTTCATTTCAATGGCCATACTTAAATATTTTTGGGCCTTTGATGCAATCTTAAACCCTGAGAAACTGCCGACATCTTTCCACAGGACCAACGGTTTCCCCGCGAAATGACTTCTGAGCAAAGAGCGAAGAAATTCAATCAGGCTAAAGCTACCTCAAAGATAAACAATGAACTCATGAATACTTACTTCATCCAATACCTCGTCTTCATCCACGTCAAGAGACTTTCAAATAAACAAATTTTCAATTGGGGAGTAAATTTTAAGCAAGCTTCAGTTTATTAACTTTTTTTTTTCGAAAGCAAGCCTCAGTTCAATTGCCTTCTTTCGGTCGGCGATTACATTTATCGATGAACAAAACCATTGGGTACAGTCATTTTCAACTTACAACAAATTCAAGCAGCAAAATTAAGAAAACCACTAACAGAGGTAAGCAAGAGTGACTCGAAGAAAAGACATGCAGTCTTCAACAACTTCAAAGAAACAGACTTAAGGCTTTTTATTAAAAAAAAACAACAACAACAACAATAACAGCAAAAAATATGAAAAAGGATGGCTTAGGCAAATAAATGTCTTTTCTTGGGATAAATTGAGCTCACGGCAATAATAGCGTCTGACCAATTTTAAAAAACATAACGTGAAAATTGATGCTTTCGAAGACGTTCCGTTATTTAGTTAAACAAGAACATAAATAGGAGTACTTACATCCTGCAGGGAATTTAGCAGCTGAAGGAAAAATAAAGAATGATATTTAAATGAAGATAGTGCTCTGTGGGTAATATTTCAGAAGAGAAATACTGAAAATATAGGAGCCCTTAGGCGAGGAAATGATAATTGCTAACGAGCAGCCTCGCGAAGACACGCGTTTTATGATGTAATGCGTGCATAGGTAAAATCTTTGCTCGTTGGCACTTAGCGAAAGCTATAACTAGTTTACTATATTTCGATACTGGGATCATTTTAAAGGGTGGGTTACGCAATCAAGTGGGCTGGGCTAGATTCTAAATGTTTACCTCTCGATCATTGTTGGTGCAATAAATAATTGAGGAAGAAGGTTCTGACATTGCTATTAATTTAGACACTATACGCAGATAATTCTTTTCTCTAATGAATACCGTGGTTAAATTACAGTCACACCTCCCGTAAGCGACCAACCAAAAGGCAAAGATCTAGTGGTAGCTTGAGGGAGGTGTTCGCTTACGAGAAAAGGTCAAGAACTACTGGGGGTACACATCTGTATTTATAAAAAATTCGTTAAGAAATGTTTCGGTTCAGGTTTTCAAAGGAAATTTTTGAGTGGCGTAGAACATTCAGCGAACAAAGAGACCATGCCTCAAGTGGTCGCTTACAAGAAGTTGAATACAATGGAAAATGATAAAGCCAAACACTGGTCGCGGCTGCTAACGAGAGGTGGTCGCATATGGAGGTTTGACTGTAATTACGGCCTTGCCTAGTCCCTAGGCCTCATTATTGCGCGCGGCCAATGCGTTTCGCGTCACGTGGTTCGTCTCGGGTATGTCACCGAAATGCATTGACCGAGAAGGCCAGGAAAGACGCCGTACCGCAAGTACCCTACCGTTCATGGGTTGGAGGAGGGTGATGAATTAGTTAATGCAAAGTGACCCCTTAAACCTCGTTGTAAGTAATTTATTGCCTTACTCCTTATTTGAATACAGGGCCATAAAGTGCTCTTCACTTGGGTGTAACAGTATTATTCATCGTTTACAACTTCTATACCCGGATTCAAAACATTTGGATTGTTGCTTTATCTATCTGGAAACAGTCGTGGATTCGGACATTAGGCACCTTAAGATCCGACGACGGCGACGGCAACGGCAACGAGGACGCCAAAAAAGCAACAGGTTTAACATCCAAAACAAGAATTTTGCACGTGCATCACGCTTTTTTGTACATTTCTTTGCCGTCACTGCACGACTACGACGTGATAATGCCTTATTTCACGTTTCACATAGAAAGTACGCATGCGACGACGAAATTTCTTCTCTAATTCTAAACTTGGAAATGACTCTTAGGAATTCTGCTTTAGGAGGGTTCACCTACATTTGATAAAGTTAGAAACTTGGAGTAATCGTGACGACAGTTGAAAAAACGTGAATTTACTTTTTCAGCGACGTTTTCGCTGCCGTCGCCGTCCTCAGATCTTAAGGTGCCTATTGTATAAGGAGACGGAGCAGTACTCTCACCTCTTCCCTTTCGCGGCACAAAAACTTGTAATCAGTCAGCAGACTCTCCATAGCTATCTGTAAGAGAGGGGTAACAGTATTACCTTATCTTTTCCAGGTAAGACGTATCTTCATTTAGGTCTTTCTTGAAACAAAAATATGAAGAAAAAATAGAATTCCAACAGTTTTGTGGGAGCTTAAGAGCGAGGTTAGACAGTACTTTCCATTAAGCATTGGCGATATGTTTTCTCCTCAAAAAAGGGGTTTAGAGAAAATCGCCGGGAGGGAATTTCGGGTTTAAGGTGATGGGGTTGATGGAAATCGAGACAATATTCAACCCCTTCCCCCGCCGCCGCCCCCCACCCCCCAAAAAACACCTAAGGCTTTCAAGGAGATCCCTAAAAATCTCTGGACTAAAAATTCATCCCCCCCCCAAAAAAAATGCCACGCCCAATTTGCGACGTACTGGAGACGAGTGAAGGTTGTATTTTTCACTCGAATATATAGATTAATCCGAGGCTAAAGGCGAAGTTCCCGTTAATGAAAAAACATTACAATAAAGAAATCCAATTAGAGTTGAGCCTGCGATCAGTTGAAAACTAGAAACTTAAAAAAAAAAAAACACGTAACCTCGAGGGGTCGACACCTGAGCCCACGATACGGTCATGTGATTACTGTTCAGCTGATACCCTGTTTTGACAGCTGTCAATTGAATACAACATGGATGTGCAATATCAGGATGCAGGCTCCCACACTAGGTAGAAAGCGTAACATGTCAAATTGGTTGCCCTGTGGTGCAGACGGACGGGTGGGTGGACGGGCGGATGGACGTACGGTCACGTGACTGAAAAATTTCTTGGATGGATAGGTAACCACATTTTCTTAGCTTTGAGGCTCCGCGCGCGCATGGAGCTTCGCTTTGACTCTGTCTCTATGCTGTGGCGTATCTTCTGTTGTTGGCGTGTCAGTATGGCTAATGGTCACCGCTAACACAAAGATTACACATTGAAAGTAATTGTTATACCTGTCCACTAAGGTGCTCCTGCATAGCGGTGTAACCCTGAAAGGAAATAAAAAGTTCAGCACACATTGGATTTCAAGCACTAGCCTAAAAAAACAGCCGAAATTTAGTCACGACACCACTGAAACGAGCGGAGAAATTCCCATGCTGATGACGTTTTACTACCCAGATCTAGATAGTGCTTCTGATTGTTTGACGTAAATTTTCCACGCCAATCAAAAGCACTACCCGAATCTGGTAGTGGCACGTCATAATTATGAATTTTCTGCCCTCCTTCTTAAGACGTCTTTTCGCGGGGACACCTGTAGTGGTGTTATCGGCTTTTTTCTTAGGCTATTTAAGCACTAGCACTTACGTTTCAAACGCCTTTGTCTATAATGCTATCCTCATTTAGTAAAATCCAACTAGTGGTCTATCATCAATGCTGCGTTCTGATTGGTTATAGCCCACTAGTAGCGAAAAGCTCGGGCTTTTTGGCGGCAAAAAAGGATTAAAGTCTAGCTTTTACCTAGCTAAAATTTTTTATTTTCGATATTTTTGACCAAGTAGTTGGATTTTACTAAAACAATTATTCCTCTCGCCCTCATGGCCTCTGAGTCAATAGCCCATGAGGCCGAAGGCCGAATGGGCTATTGACTCAGAGCCCATTTGGGCTCGAGGAATAATTGTTAAATAGCTGTCGAAAATGTATTCGATGCACAACATTGTATCAAGTAAACACGCAATCGGGTTCTACTCGTGCAAAACTTTTTTTTAAGCAAATATGTTGCTTTTGTTCCGGATACTGTATATAAACAGGACTCGGTCTTAAAATTGAAAATCTTGTTGAAGAGCTCAGAAGATCTTGGAATTAACGTTCCCTCAGGTAATTTACCATCTTATGTTAAGCGGAATTGGTCCTCACATGCAGTCCATACAATTCTTGGTTTTATAAACAAAGGACCGCAAACGAAAATGCTGCCTGTATACGTAATATCTAAGATCTATCAGCAAAAATGCACCAAAATCACAAAGTAACAAATCATTGCGGCTTATACTGCGTAGAAATAAACGTTGCAAGGAAGAACTGGAGTGCGTGCAGCCTTAGACAGCTGTTTCGCTCTTTTTAGCTCATCAGTTTGGTATAACAAGAGGATAAAAACGTCGGGAAAATATTATTCTGTAAAAGTACTTAAGAGCTCTAAACGAAACAGCTGTCTACAACTACACCTCTCCTTTAATTATAAGATTCTATCGATGTTTTTATTTGTGGTTTATGCCCGGGGGGTACTTTGAGAATTTTTGGGTGGGGATGTGCAGCTTTGACCCTGGAACCCTTAGCCTATACCAGAGCTAGTTTAGCTGAATTTTGCTACCCTACACTAGACTTAACTCCCCAAATCCGCCCCTATCCTAGAGTAGCTTTTAGGCTGAGTTGCGTAAATTTCAACTTGTCGATTTGATTTTTTTTATATTATTGAATGGCAATTCCCGATTTCCCTAGTCTAGACTAAAATCTTCAACCAATTGATCAGTTTCCTAGAAAATGATACCCTATTTTAGACCCAAACTCTCTGATTTATATACTCTATCCCACAGTAAACTGCTTGAAAACCATACCCTTGACAGCGGTACATACCTATATATCCCATACATGGCAGTACCCCCCTTCCCCTGAGGGGGTGTTATGCCACTTTGCTCTGGAGATGGGTTAAAGAACGAAGAAAATGATCACTAAAGGGGAGCTGCTTTTATCTTTTAACAAGTTCTCTCATGTAAAGAAGCCGAAGAAAAAATCTTAACTGGAAGCCAGTAATGAAATCAGGATGGAGAATTTCTCTTTGGATATTGGCGCTTAAAGGGTTATGGCTGTCAACGTACCACGTGATAAGCAATTTACCTGTTGATCTTTGTCATCATACATTGCATCATAGTCTCTTAGCAACTGAAAATCAATTAGACAAGAATTTGGTTTTATCCACTGAGTTACTAAAGTGAATTTACCGCTGTAAAAGTTCGAGGAGCGGTTAGTGCGAATAAAGCGATTTTTGGCTGTGGTTCTCATGTAGAATGAAAGAGAAACACCCGTGCGCGCTTGGGGGGTGTCCCATGTTAATTTAACGGAGAGGAAAGTTAGAATTAAACCTCTCGGCCTAAAGACAGGTGACCAATCTGGTGAAATCACCTTGGAAATGGATGGTCACAATAACTACAAAGAATTTCCGTTATGCAAGTGTTTTTCACGCTGTCTTAGGGCCAAGTATATATATATATAACTGAAAGGTAGTTGATGCAACTTAGAGCTTTCTAAGCCAACTCTCCGCCACAGGCGAAATTTTTACAGTGTCTATAATTCCATTAAAAGCAAAATCAAGTAAATTAAATAACTCAAACAGTGGGTTTGGGAAGAAAATGATTTGTATTGGCTTATCTAGTATTCAGTAATGAATCACAATAATCATGAGAAACAAACTTCACTGTTTAAAACAGCCTAACTTTCAACCGTAGTCGGACATCAACCGTACAGTCTTCGCACATGTATTTGTGTCGTTTTGACGTAACGACATTTGTAAAGAACACTGTGATAGTGTAAATATTGTCATTATCTTCTAAGGTATACATGTGTAACTAATGAGCAAAAGATCAGTCAGATTACCGGTGCTAATGTGTCTTGTAATGTGGAAAGTCTTTCAAATGGAAAAACTCAGTCAATATTATATACAGTAAAACGCCGCGAAGAAGGATCTAGATCTTTCGAAGTTTGGCAAAATAGTTTTTTATAGTTGCGAATTCTTAATTTTTATGAAGAAGGACACCGTTGTTGATTACAAGAAATTGCTATAAGTGGTATTTGTCCTTCATAATAGGCATTTATTTACCAAAAATCTAACAAAACTAGGCAAGAGAGAACTAGGTTAAGAACTAGAAGATATGCAGTTTTCAACAAAGGTTGTATACATTATACATTTATTATATAATTTAATATAAATTTCCCATATTAAAGCCAGACTTTTGGTCAAAATGTTTATGAAAATGTAGTCTAACCCCACATATATAAGAACCTGTTGATTTTTTTTGCTAAACTGGTTCTTATATTTTGGAGTATTAAAATGACAAATTTCTGCCAGTAGGTTCTTAAATCCTAGGTTCTTCTTCGCTGCGTTTTACTGTAATATATTTCTAGCCATTTGAGTGAAAAGGTGTCAAAAGGCAGGCTTTTTAGGCCCGAGAAGCTCCAAAAACACAGTAACGAAGAAAAAGGAAAGGAGAAAGAGAAATAGCGGGGCGGAAGAAAAGGAGGAGAGGAGGAAAAAGCAATGGCTGTACTCTTAGTTTTTATATTGGCTACTTTGGAGATAGTTTTTGGCCGAAAAAAAAACTGTTGGACGCCAAAGGTTCATCTGGGGTAACGTTTTCAAAACTCCGGCTGGATATATATACCGGACCAAAGCACGCGCAGCATACCTTCCATATTCGATCCGTAATGCCACTGAACTCTTGTCCGAAGTAGTTTGATTTCTGCTCTCCAATTCCTACTGCATGTACAGCTAACGGAAGGTCCTCCGCAAACGTGGAATATTCGGCTCTCCTATCATCGTCTTTTCCTGCAACATCCTCGGGTGAAGACAGATCTCTTCTCCAGATGGCCTCATATTCAGATTCCTTGGGATCTTTGAACAGCTGCATGGTTTGAAAGTCAAGATCCTTAATCGGTGGCTTGTTCTTCCGTTTCTTTCCCTGGCCTTTGCCCTGGCGCTGCATAGCGAATTCGTATCGTCGCGACATGATATTTTGAAGTAAATTTTAGCTCAAATATCGCATTTTGATGTCGTCCACACTTTTAAATCCCGCCTTACAAGAAACGGGATTTTCTTTGTATTTCCTACATAGCTGCGACGAACTAATAAGTTGCAGTCATCCGAGGCAGAATTCGATCATTTCAGAGGATTCTAATTAAAGGCATATATTTCGTTTTATTTTGAATGCAATTAAGCTATTACCATTAATGACACGCCAGTTTTCTATGTGACATAACAATTACTTAAAGAGTTCGTTAATCATGCGACGATTGCACAACCAGCCCGGGACCGCTACCTTTGTAAACAAAACGAAGAGATGGTTTCTGAATGTCTCTCCACTGCCAAAATCTTTTACAATGCTATCCACCAGTAATCTTCATCTCATAAATACTATCCCCCCATGGTTACAAATCAATTAAACAAGCCAAATTTAGCCATTAACAGGCTCTCGGTCGGTGTAGACGATCGAAAAAAGTGAGCGAGCAGCAAAAAACGTGCGCGAGCAGCGAAAGAACGAGTTAGCGAAGAGCGGCGGGAAGAGAAAAGCGCTCACTCGGTTTTTGGAGCTATTTTTTAGCCATGTTGTCTCCACTTTCTTGGAGCCTGGAACAGGCCAAGCCAAATACAGATTTGAATTCTCTGCGCATGTTGATAAACCACCCACGCGCCGCCCACGCGCCGCCCACGCGCGCGCGAAGCGCGCGCGTGGAGCTCCGCTATTACATGTTTATGACAAGAAGTATGACTGCTTTGTAAAACAAATGTATCGATTGTCCTGGTTCCTCTCAGTTTTCTGTTGCTACGCTTTATGATCAGCAGAAAGGTATCACGCCATTTTCCTCAGCAATCAAACGCGAAACCAAGACCAATCGAGCCTTATTAGCCCAGCTTTCGCTGCATTTGAATTTTACTTTACTAACATACCCGGAACTACAGTTTTGTTGTTAATTAAGTAATGAATTGTCTGTTTGTGAAGTTGTTAATACAGTTTATCAAAAGAAAAAAAAATAACCTGAACTACGCCTCAGGAGATATCTGGCGGATTATTTAGAATTTTATGCAGAATTTTGGGAAAGTCGTTTAAGGTTATTTTACGGGTTATTTCTAGGAAACTGCCCACCTTTTCCTCCCCTAACATTAACAACATTAACACTTGTTCTCACTTAGGGTAAACTGTTGGCTTAGGGGAAGGGTAGGTGGACGGCTTCCCAGAAACTAATGTCCGATACAAGTGTCTGGCACTAAGGATGAAAGGCAAAGGAGCTGCGCCTCGATTTTCCTACACGCAACGTGCATCTTGGACCACAGACTCAAAAGTCAAAATTACCCGTATGCCGTGGCCGTAAATACGGGTAGATTGTCTCTTACCCCAGAGAACGGCTTCTCCTACCCGGTAGAGTGGTGATGCCATTATCGTGGCAAACATGTTTGCCTATCCGTACCCGTAAAGGGAAACTGTGTATCTTAAGGTCCGTAATGTCCAACCGATATAACGCATGATCAACCGCCCAAATAATCTCAGGAATATGGGCTGAAAGTTCTTTTTAGCTTGCCGTAAATCCTCTATTTAGCCCCCCCGGGGGCTAATTTCTTTCAAACGCATTTAAGGAGAGGTTAAACAGAGACGGGGTCTTATTTGAAGGGGGGCTTATTTCATTTAGCGAAGAAGATGGTATCAGTTCTCCATAAGGAACTAGAATGTAAAGTGGAAAAACTCAAGAACAAGAAGTCTAAGGTCATGCAGCCGAAAATCAAAAACAAATTTAAACTTCCAGGTGGTAAATAAACCATATTGGATCAGTCCACGCAAAGTATTACAGTCGCAATAGGCTCCTGACAGTCGTGATTGATTGATAAAGTAGATCATTCATCAGTGAATAATAATAAGGCGGATGGTAGGAGGGCTTAAAGGAGAGGGGGGGTTATTAGCTTTCTCCCCTTGAAAAGGCTTATTGGAAAGGGCGGCTTATTTGAGAACACCGCAAAGTAAGCACTGAAGCACACGTACCAAATCCGTGGTATGGTCAATTGCAACTTAACCACCAGACGTTCTTGATTCACGAACGGCATGTCTCGCCGCGCAGAACTGGATCGGGGACGAGGTTTACTCGCCAAATGCAAATCTTTTCAGAGCACTTATCTGGGCGCACTTCCTTTGCGACAAATATAATAATTTCTCTTTCCCCGCCGCGTGTCGCCTTTTCTCGCGTGGGATGATTTTCACGCGCGCTCGCGCTTCGGTCGCTCTAATATTCCTGAGGAAAAATGGGGGACTACTCGTAGTCTACTGAAAGAACTGTGACAGGTCTAAAATTTACTTTCTCTAGCTGTGAGTCGAAATGTGGCACAATCTCGCCTCGTTTCCAGGAATCGGGGACCGCTTTCGAACTAATAACAGTGTTCATTAAAATTAAATGACTTAAGGTAATTCACGTGAAAATGATATACTATCCAGATTTTTTAAACTTGGCACAAGTGTCAGCCATATATAGCACATTCAAAAACTGTAATAAAAAGATGGGGTCACCGTGCTTGTCTTCCCACTGCGTGCTTGTAATTGTGATGAGTGTTTTTTCCCAGTTGCGCGCGAAGTGTTCGAAACTTAAACAACAGTCAAAAATTCTTATTTTATAGCAAAAACTACGAAGTTACTAAAACCTTTAGCCTTCAACTTAAACTTAAACTTTTATTTAAATTTGGAAATATAACAAAAAATACATTGGGACTGGCCTGCAGTTAGCGAGGCTGTTCGAGGCAGGCCAGGCTACGTAATTTACTACAAACTGGACAAATACTATTTGTCATGATATTAGAGAGAGTTACCGCTCGCAACTCGCTCGACAACTTATTCAAAGCCTGTTTGCTTTTCTGGACTATATTTTTGAAATTAAATAACCTCAAATTACTCGATGATGTAAAAAAGTAGAGAAATGGTGAGTTTTCACAATACACAATACTGTGACTCTAATTAAATGCAGAAATTCAAGTCATTTATACAGGGTATCCAGATTTTTCTCACCTTGATATATATATTTTTTGTGTAGCTTTAGCGAGTGCAAAACACAAATAAAAAAGGGGGGGTCACCCTTCTCGTTTCATCGCAAACTGACAAAAAAAAGGGACAATTTTGGCTTCAATCATTTTGCAAGGTTGGACTGGGGCGAGTTTCAAGACAAGCACCCCATTAGCCGGGTAGAATTATCAAAATCGCATTAAGATTACAAAACGAGCCATAATTACCTCTTTTTGGCGACCCGTGAAACCTACGCCACCTTTGAAGTCGCAATAGCATGCGCACTGGGAGATGCGCAGTGCAAAACAAGGGAATTATCTTGAAGGCTGTGTTATTGAGGGAACAGACGCCTTCAGTGCACGTGGGTGAGGTATGTGATCATTACTTCTTGCTTTGTTTGCTTATATTTTCTGTAGGGCATATTTAACCAGATCATGATTAGTTAAACTGACGTCTAACTGTTTATGTTCCAGTATTTGGGAATATTCGACACGTGCCGTTGATTCTCAAAAGCAGTATAGGGCTGGATTTCCAAATCGTCTACTACATTTGAAAAGTAACTATTCAGAGTCTCTGCACCTAAATTCTGATCTTTAAGTATCATGTTGTTCTCTTTAAGTGTAATGTATCAATTAGGTGGGCTTCTCTTTGAATGCATCAGAGGACTGAGCAAGTTCTAGAAATCTTTGGGTCTTCCGGCGGCATTTATAATGCATAGCTAATGCTGATTAAGGTGATGAATCACCGACTTTCTTGGCATTGTTACAGTATGATTACGCACGAATCTGTAGGCCTCCCAGTTTTCAGCGGTTCTTGACTTGTTATCTTACCTCTTGAGTGCATTCCTGAGTATTATGGCCTTTCGTATCTCGGGTGTGATGAATTTTGATCAACCAAGGCTTTCCTTGACTGTTTTACATTTGATTGGGGTATGGTTATCTAACACGTTGCTATATAAGCGTTCCCATGCATGCCCAGTAGATATCATCAATCTCAGTATCTCATCAAACTCATAAGCCACGTGAAAAGGAACGAGTTGTGAATCTTTGTTAAATTCGTCTTTATCAAATTCTTTGAAACATTCTTAAAAATCTTTCTTTAATAAAACCTGCCTTCGGATTCATTAACTTCTTGTTGAGAATTATGTTAATTAGCATGTGATCGCTCAGGCGAATGTCAATGGTGATTCGGGCTTACTCCTACACACCTAGCATGAAAATGCTTCTTACACTCGTTACAGTCCAGTGCCCGGTGATTTCGAGAGATTGTCTTTGAGCAGTGATAGCATCTTTCTGGTCCAGGATTCAAACTGATCTTTAATTATCATGTTGTTCTCTTTGAGTGTAATGCATCCAAAGTAGGTGGGCTTCTCTTTCTGCTCTTTGAATGCATCAGAGGACGGAGCGAGTTCCCATTGAAATCTTTGGGTCTTCCAGCAGCGGTTATGCATAGCTGATTAAGGTGATGAATCACCGACTTTCTTGGCATTGTTACAAAACGATTTAATACGCACGAACCTGTATGCGTCCCAGTTTTCAGGTGTTCTTGACTTGTTATATTTCCTCTTTAGTGCATTTCTGAGTCTTATGGCCTTTCGTATTAGTCGGGTGTGATGAATTTTGATCGACCAAGGCTTTCCTTGACTGTTTTGCATTTGATTGGGGCATTGTCATCTAATACGTTGTTATATAAGCGTTCCCATGCCCAGTGGATATCATCTATCTCATCAAACACATAACAGGGTCACCCAACGACAGTTTCCTTCTAAATGCAGCGAATACAATTTTTAGGCTATCCAGAGAACTTTTAGATCTCTAGAAATTCATTTTAAGCGGCGCTTTTAAATTTGTATTTGTTCGGTCATCCTTGGGCAACTCGTGTCTTTTCGGAATTACGAGGGCATCAGTATTATTTTCCCAAAAATAGTAGATGCAATCTAACACTGATCTAAAGCTTTACGAAGCAAGAATTTT